CCCCCGCCCCGAGATGAAGGACACTCTCCTGGGAGGAGACGGTCAGATCTGGGTTCACCTGTCCGGGCCTGCCCCGCTGACCCCGGGGGACTGTCGTGCCGCTGACAGGCGTGCAGTTGAGAGCAGGGCCGCCCAGCAGAAATCTCCCGGAAGCCCCACAGGTCACTTAAGAAGAGTGAGAATAACGGGGTGGACTTCGTTTTAGTGACTGAGTTTATTTAGCCAATATATCCAAGGATCACCACTGTATCATGTGATCATTGCAGAGAGTATTAAAGAGGCAGTTTACTTGCTTTTTCTTTTGAAGTCTCCAAAATCTGTCATGTATCTCACACGTATGGCACATCGCGGTTGGCACGCACCCTATTTCCAGGGCTCCTGGCCAGCGGCGGCCCGGGAGCCCTCGTCCCTCCTGGGAACCAATGTCACATCTCCCCCTGGGCCTGGTCAGCAGCACCCCAGGCAAGGGGGGGCCTGGAGGTCAGCCTCTTCTCCAAGGATCCTGCCGGTGGCCGATTTGGAAGCCTAGAGACCCTCGTCTGTCAGAGGTAAGTCACTTCGCCCCCTCGGACTGTCCAGGAGCCGACGGCCTTTGCTGAGTCCCTACCGCAAAGCAAGCTGCCAGCCCCAGGCAGCACGTGAGCCAGGATTAGGGGCGGCCCCTATGCCTGGTCATGTCTGAGGCTGCACATGATGGGCGCGATTCAGTGTTCCATGGCAGCTGGGGGGGTGGGGTGCGGGGGCTGGAGTGCACACAGCCGCGGCCACCATGCCCTGTGCCCGCGGGTCCCGAGGGGCTCCGGGCTCAGGCTGGGGGTGGGGCAGTGGCTGGAGGGAGCCAGGGTTCGAGGGAAGTCCCTCTCCTGCTCAGAGACTTCCGTGCCTTCTGTGGGGCCCTCGGGTTCACTGCGCCCCACCCAGCCTGTCCCCTCCTTTAGCCTCAGGTCTCCCCACCCTCTGGTTCACCCTCCCGGCGTCCCTGGGAAATACCATCCCCTTTGTGGCCTCTGTGCCTTGGCACTTGCTGTTCCCTCCGCCCGGAACCGCCTTCCCCGTGCTCACCCCAGGCCAGTCTGGGTCACTCTGATTCTCTCCTGGGTCTCAGCTTACCGTCACCCTGTCAGGCGAGCCCTTGTCAACAGTCCCGACTCGACTACGGTGCTTGCCTGTGAGAGAGGCCCTGCCTTGCCCGGGGTCACCAGGAGCCCAAGTTTCTAACAAGCGTCCCCGGAATACAAGGCTCCCCCCGCAACTCTCGCGCGGTGTCCCCTACCCCGTCCGCACCACCCTCCAAGCTCATTGCCAGTTAACAGAAGAGGCCAGGCCACAAGCATCGCTTGATCACCAAGGAAATAGGCCTGGGGTGGGCTTGGGCTGCCAGAGGGTGGAGGCCCCCAGACATGGGGTGACACCACGTGTGGGTCCTGACTCCCTGAAGGGAGCAGAGCAACAGAGGCACCTGGAGGGTCCCAGGCTGAAACCGCGGCAGTGGCATCGTAAGAAAGACCTATCTAGTAGCGAGTAGTGAGCTCCTCGTCCCTGGAGGTATACAAGCAACGGCACCAGGTGCTGGAGAAGGGATGGGACCTTGGCACAGGGGTTCATTTGCCTATTAAGGGGTTTCCCTCCAGCTCTCAAGATTTAGGTATGGCCCAAGGTCACAGGCAAGGCCTGAAGGGGGCCGTCCCACCCACCCAGGCCATTCCCCCTCTTGGGGCCAATCATTAATTGGCACCGCTTGAGTGGCTGCTCCCACGAGTGCCCCCGGCTGCCTGCCAACTCATGGCCCGTCTCCCATCTCGTGCCCGGGGCAGCCGCATGCCTCTGACACGGGCTGGCTTTGCCACCCGGCCCCGCTTCCTGCTCGTGACTCCCAGCAGCCGAGCCCTCCTGGCTGAAAAGGGAGCTGGGCCTTCGCCAGGCGCAGCCTGGAGCCGGGGAGGGCGGAGGGCGAGAGGCCTCAGCCCCGCTGGTAGGAAGCCCACCCCTCCCCCCCCTGGGGCAGAGCGAAGGGAGAGCCTGAGGCAGGCGCTGAGCGGGCCCAGGGCTGACAGGCTCTGAGGACAAAGCCCCAGGACGTGAGCGTGGCCGGGCTGTGGACAGGAAAAGCCAGGGAGGGGTGAGAGGGCGTTCTCCAGGGAAACCAGATGCAAGCAGAGGGGAAGGGCCTTCCAGGGCTACGGGCAGTGGGGGCAAAGTCCCAGAGGAGGAAAGGGTTGGCACGCTCTGGGAAGAGGAGGAAGTGAGCCAGGCTGAAGCTCTGGTTTCTAGAAGGGATGCGGGGAGGTGAGGGTGATGTAAGACAGGGGCCACTCAGCCTCCAAGCTAAGGAGTTAATTTTATCCTGGGCAATAGGGAGCTACTGCAGGTTTTGGAGGAAGGGAGTGACATGGCGTGACCAGGGCTGGAGGGGAGGCAGGAGGAGGAACTGACGGTTGCCAGGGGAGGGCCAGCGAGGCAGGCCCCACAGTGGCAGTGGGGCAGGGTGGAGGGATGGACGGGGAAACAACGCCAGATTTCTGCAGAGACGACAGGTGCGCAGGTCAGGGGGAAGGCTGGGGACGGCAGACTTAGGCAACAAGATGCTGAGCATGTCGGGCCAGAGGTTCCCATGGGTCCCCCTTGCTGGATGGCCCCCCGTGAGCAGCCCCAGGGGCGAAGTGACTGCAAACCCTCGTGGGCTCCTGTTGGACCAAGGGCTGGCCTCCGAGAAGGAACAGCTATGAGCTGTTAGCCGTGATCCAGGGGACACGTGATGGCCAGTAAAGGTCACCCGG